CGCGCCGCACCCACGCGCGCGAGCAGGACCACACAAGCGCGACGACGAGCCAAGCGCGCGAAGATCTCCAGTAGGCAAAAGGGGCGCTGGCGGCGCAGAGCGGCGACGTTGTTCAGCTCGAACCTGCGGGCCAAGCAGAGCTACGACTGGCCAGTCACAGGACTCAGCCCAAGCGCAGTGCGTGATTCAAGAACTCAAGCTGCAGAGATGGTTGGCTGTGCAACCAGCGGCCGCTAGCGGCGCCGCATTGTGGGCGATGCCCAGGAAGATGTGTAGCACGGCCCTCGCCGCGTGGTTCGCAGCCGCGCATCCTGCTACGACGCCGTTCCATGGGCAGATAGGCTCAGCACGGCAATGGCAAGCGCGCGCTACGTTAGGCGATCGGTAAATTAGCATGCCTACGTAGAGATTGACTGTTGGACAGTCCAGCTGCATAGCCCGCCTGATTAAGACGCCCAGGTCCACGCTGTCGTAGAACTTCTCGAGGTCCAGGTAGAATGCGCCACGCAGGGGCCCCTTGAGCTTCGCGCTTGTCTCGTCGAGCGCCATTGCTAATATGGCTGCTCCAAGTGCCGGCGAACCTTGGATCGCTGCATCCCAGTAGCAGCCTTCTCTGCAAACCAATATGGAATCTCACTCTTTACCATCTTGCCCCACAGGCGCACTGGGAACGGTAGTAGACCAATAGGTCGCTCCTCGCCCGCCGCGTTGGAGCCTGCTTTGTCTAAGAGGTGATACCATACATGGTAAAATTGACGTGGCCAACATACGTTCCGCTCGCAAGAATTGATCGCGTAGACCAGGCTGCGCTTGGCTTCGTGTGGGGCGGCCCTTATCTCCGGTGGTTGCCATCGGTCTGGCCACCGAGCCGTGGTAGGCCGAAACGTTGGGAGCGCCGCCTCCTGGTCGCCAGCGTCGAAGTAGCTGCGGTGGGGTAGTTTATATTGGGCTGTCTGTCTATGGTCTGCCATAGCCTCTTCCAACTGCTGGCTGCTACTGCGCCGCTGCCACCTCGTCTGCCATACTCTTGCTTGCAAGACATTATGTAGCTTCTCGTGGCGCTTCAGATTCTTCTTTAGTAACTGGGTCCACTGCAGTATCTGGTAGACCTCGCCGTTCGCGTTTGCTGATGTAGTTGTGGGCCGCCTTCATACTGCCTGATAGCGCCGATCTGATTTTCTTCCACGGCTCCCGCGCATGCCACGCTGAACGTGCCCGCGTCGCCTCCGTTGCGTCGTGCCACTCTTGGATGTTCTCGACTGTTGCTTCTGGATCTGGGTCGCGTCGAAGGGTGGTGACTCGTCCAGCAAGTCGAGCTGACTGGCCGTCTGAGTGGGGCACCTCCTCTATGTCTATCTTGTCGAACGCCTCAATCTGATCCACAAGCACTGCGATGATGTGGCAGGCGGTTGCCATGCGCTGCTGGCTGTCGGTCGGGCGCCTTTGTAGAAGTAGCTCTCCGTCACGACATCGTTGGTCGAGCTTCGACCAAAGTGTGCTAACTTGCTGCGGCTTGTCAGTCTTCGTGTCACCGATGGGCTTGCTCGCAACATGCCGTGGCTATGGTACTTCACAATGTCGCATAGGTTGTCCTCGCCGCGCTCCAACATGAACCGGTGCTCGTGCGATAATGGCCAATGCTCTCCCGGCCGCATCCGCCCACTTGCCGTATAATCTGCCAAGTAGGTCGCTCATCGTCGGGTTCTCCTTGCAGGCTAAGGAACTATTGACCCATCCTGGCGGGCCTCGGATTTGGCCAGAGGCCTCCTGCTCGCTGCACTTGCCCCAGATAGTCGGGTCGCATGTCATGGCGACCGTCTACGTGTAGTAGTTGTTCAGGAGCGTATTGTCCAAAAGGTCCTCGTCGAAGGACTGGGCCATGTCTTAGCGCTGCTTCCTGTCTCGCTGCTTCCTCCACGCGCCTTTCTCCCGCTGCGCGGAGACCCTGGTACATCGCGTTCTGCTCGAACTGATTTAAGAGGTGGTCGGAAGGTTAGAAGAGCGATCGCGCAGTCGATGGGCCTTCCAGATCCACTGCTGCACGCGCGACTGACGCGCCGCGGCATCACAATGGCTGCCCCAAGTGACTTTAGCCACGGGGTCGCCTCGAAGTCCTGGGGTGCGTTATTGAAGTCGCCGCAGATGATCCATGGTATATTGCCCAGGCTACGCGCGAGCTGCAAGAGGTGCTTCATCTTGCGAATATTCCCACCCGCCATCTGCTGGCCTGCGAGCTGCCACTCGACGACGGCGGCGTCATAAACCTCCATCGCGAAGATGCCATGGCCCTGCGCGTCTGGCAGGTGAACGCGCGTGTCCAAGTGCCATATTCGAAACATACAGGTGCCTCCTAGCGTGCCTGTCTTCGACCTCGGCGACTGTCTTGCCGGTGTCCAAGTACCATGCGACCTCCACCCAAACCGCGCGAGCCTGTTAGCCTCGATCTCCGCTGCTAGTCCTCGCAAGTGGTGCTCGCTGAAAGCCATCAGGTCGCACTCCACGCGGTTCTCTCTCGCCCTCCACGATTGGCGGCCTCAGTGCACTGCGCGCAGCTGGCCACTGAAATCTTGACGACGTTATTGGCATCGTCCTTCAGCTTGCTCTGCTTGGCGCTGTCGACGGCGGGGAATGTAGCGCCGGTACCTCGCGCGCCTGCGCGGACTGGCTACGTCGCCATCGTAGCACACGATGAGCTCCCACAAGGTGAAAATGTCGACGCCGCGTTGCCATTATCATCCCCAGCGAGAGCAACAGCACTCTTAGTGATGTAGTCAACCTCGTCGTCGAACCAAACCGTCTTGGTGCACGCCGGCTTGGCGCCGCTGCTTGGTCCTCGAAGAGGGCCTGCTGCGAGTGGGGATTTGCCTCTCTCAACCGACACGCAGACCACCCTTGGCTCACCCGCCTTCGCAGCAGGCCCCGCCAGTGCGGAGTAGGCGTGCAGCAGGTTGCACACGGTGTTGTCGAAGTTACCCTCCAACTCCGTCGCCTTTAGCTGCTGCTGCTGCTGCTGCTGGCGCCTGCCGCGTTGCCACCGCGACCTTCGCCCTGCCCTTGATCCTGGCCAGCTCCGCAAGGTAGGCTTGGACTTGTTCGTCATTGGAGAGGTCGTACTTAGTGGCGAGCCTAATCTCGGGGTCCACGGCTTGGTCTGCTTCACCTGCGGCCGCTGGTTGCTCTGCCTCTGCCGTCGGGACCGTCATTGGCTACTTCTTCGCATCCGCTCGGATTTCGCCTTGCTCTCCTTTGCGTCTCTTGCAGGCCTTCGCCTGGATCTGCTTCGCTGCGTCGAGTGCCTTCTTCGCGTTCTGGACTGCTTCCTTCCTGGTGCTGATGAAGGACTTGGCTTGCTGGTACTCCTTCTGGATGTGTTCGTACTCCACCTTTTGCTTGGGGTCCAGCATGGACAGGTATTCGTCCGACAAGGTAGGGAATTCATCATGTTCTTCGGGCTTCTGTTCCACTTCAGGTGCTGCTTCTTCGCCGCCGCCAAACTCTGCCTTGGCCTCCAAGAAGACACGCTTAGCCTCTGCCAGCTCTGCCAGCTCTGCCACGTTATTGCTGACCCTGATGAGCACGTCGTTGCGGTACTCTGTGGCGCGCTTGAGCTGTGTGGCCAACTTGCCCCGATGCTTCTGCAACCTCTTGAGCTCAGCCACCGCCTGCTGGAGCTTCTGGCCCGTGGAGGGCTCGACTGGCTCAGCTGGTTCAGGCGGCTTCGCATCTGGGCAGGCTGCCAGGATCTCGTCCATTTTGGCTTGGTCCTTCTGCTCACTTGCCAAGATGTACTGCTTCCTGAATAGTTTCACCATGGCCTTGGCGGCCTCTGACTGCTCTGCGTCGGCGTTGTCTCTGTCCTTTGGTGCAGCGTATCAACCTGATTGCTGCGTCTTGACGATCCGGAATCGCGCCATAACGCAGCTTTTGGGATCCAACACCACGAATCAACATAACTGTTGCACCCACATAATCCTGAAGCCCTCCAAAACACCATTTCTGGTACGCTGATCATGGGAGTCCGCGAAACTCTTGCTAAATTTGAAAACGAATGTGCGCGGCGCTAAAGCGAAAACCACATTTTGAAAACCACCCGCCCTCGATCCGTGAAATGCTTGCAAATGTTGAAAACGAATGTACGCGGCGCTTAAACGAGAGTTACATTTTGAAAAGCACCCGCCCTCAGTCCGTGAAACTCTTGCACATGTTGATCAAGATGAAAACGAATGTGCGCGGCGCTAAAGCGAGATCCACCTTTTGAAAACCACCAGCCCTCAATCCGTGAATCTCTTGCAAGCTTTGAAAACGAATTCGCGCGGCGCTAAGGCGATAGCCACATTTTGAAAACCACCCGGTCTTAATCCGCGGAACTCTTGCAAACGTTGAAAACGCGGCGCTAAGGCGAGAGTCACATTTTGAAAACCACCAGCCCTCCATTTGTAAAACTGCTGTCACTTCTTAAGTTTCAGAATCATACATGGTGCGGAAGTCTCAGGCGAAACGCCCGACCCGTCATAAACCCGGCCTCGGGGTGCGCAATGGGAAAAGTTCATTTATAAGGAGAAGGAATTGAGGAGGGAGGGAGGAGGAGGAGGAGGAAAAGGAGGAGGAGGAGGAGGAGGAGGATACAGAGGGGGAGGAGGTGGAAGGGATGAGAGTAAAGGGAGGGTGGATGGGGCAAGGAGAAGGTGCGGGGAAGGAGGCGGAGGAACGAGGGGAGGAGGGGGAGGACGAGGAGTGGGGAGGAGGAGGAGGAGGACGGGCCCAGAAAGAATGAAGCGCCGAGTTCGGTGACGGGAAGAAGGAGGAGGAGGAGGAGGAGGAGGAGGAGGAGGAGGAGGAGGAGGAGGAGGAGGAGAAGGACGAGGAGGAGAAGGTGGAGGAAGGGGAGGGGACTTGGGGGAGATCGAGGCGAGAGGCGGCTCGGGGGGAGGAGGCGGAGGGAGGAGGGGAGAGGGGCGAGGAGGGGAGGAGGCAGGACGGAGGGACTAGCGGGTCGGAGCCAGCGTCTGACCATGTTCGGGGCCCTCGTGCGGCAGAAAGTCAGGTCGTGCCCCGCGTAGCACCGGTTGTACGGGTTGTCGTCCAAAACGAGAGTCACCCGTTTGCGCAGGTCCGGGTCCCCCTCCAGGGCCTTCAGCGCAGTCTCCTGGGACGGGGAGCACGAGAGGGGGGATTAGCGAATCAGCTCACGTAGCTGATTCTCCTGGCGCCTCCCGGCGCCAGAGGCTCCCCATGCATCGAGGAAAGCGCCTGGCGTCGGAGGCGAAACCACCTGCATGCAGCAAATTTCGTACCCCCCCTTCCCTATCTCCCCCCCCTCGCCTGGCCCGACTGGGAGGGGGGCGGGGCCCAGGAGGCTCGAGGATCAGGGATCGAGGGCAGATGCCTGAGCGCTTTGGGGAGGCCTTTGGGAAGGGGGGGGAGCTATAGAAGGCGCCCTGGCTGCCACGGCCTGGTGACTGGCTTTAAAGCGGGCCTGTCCTCCTACAGGAGGATTAAGAAACGGAAAATCATAAATATCCAAAAAAAAATGTCAATTATTCACTGCGTGGAGCTCCCCATATGTGCATCTACTCGCATGGACCTGTCCGCCGTGAATGTCTAGGCGCAAGAGCTTTCGAATATTAACAGGCTTCAGTTGTGACGGTCTGGACATCAATCTAACTGCGAATGAATTGGAGTGTGAATGAGCCTCAGTAGTACGAGCGCGTCTCTGTGCATGAGCCTGGGGCCTCCTGGGGCCTCCTGAAACCTACTGGGGCTTCCTGGGGTCTCCAGGAGCCTCTTGGGACCTCCTGGGACCTCCTAGGAAGGTTTCGTGCCCCAGGAGAGGCGCAATCTATAGCAACAGACGTACATAAAACATTGCGGATTAGAGCCACAGGAGAAGGGCAATCTATAGGAACACGCGTAAAACACCAAGGACTCGTGCCCCAGGAGAGGCCCAATATATAGGAACATGAGTAAAACATTTAGGATTGTGTACACAGGAGAAGGACCATCTATAGAAACATACGTAGAACATCAAAGAATCGTGCTCCAGGTGAGGCCCAATCGATAGGAGCATACGTAAAACACATGGGATTGGAGCCACTCCTGTTGCCTTCTGAGGCCTCCTGCTCCTGGGGCCTCTCGGGGCCTCCTGTTGCCTTCCGAGGCCTCCTGGCGCTTCCTGTTGCCTCCTGGGGCCTCCTGTGGTTTCCTGAGGCCTTCTGGAGCTTCCTGGGGCCTCCTGGAGCCTCTTGGGACATCCTGTGGCCTCTTGAGTCTTTCTGTGGCCTCCTGATGCCTCCTGGTACCTCATGTGGTCTCCTGGGGCCTCCTGGAGTCTGGCCCACCTGGGGGGTGAAAATTAGCGCCTCGCTCGAGACATCCTCCAAATCTGCTCCGAAAGCGAAGGATTTTGGGCCCAGAAACAAGCAAACCGCCTGAGACATCCCCACAAAATGGCCGCGAACGAGCCCGTGCAACCACCCCTGGCGGCTCCCCTTAGGGCCACGAGCCTGGCCACCAAAACAAGCAAACCGATCGAGACATCCTCAAAGTCTGGCCCACCTGGGGGGTGAAAATGAGCGCCTCGCTCGAGACATCCTCCAAATCTGCTCCGAAAGCGAAGGATGTTGGGCCCAGAAACAAGCAAACCGCCTGAGACATCCCCACAAAATGGCCGCGAACGAGCCCGTGCAACCACCCCTGGCGGCTCCCCTTAGGGCCACGAGCCTGGCCACCAAAACAAGCAAACCGATCGAGACATCCTCAAAATCTGGCCCACCTGGGGGGTGAAAATGAGCGCCTCGCTCGAGACATCCTCCAAATCTGCTCCGAAAGCGAAGGATGTTGGCAAGACAAACAGGCAAACCGCCTGAGACATCCCCACAAAACGGCCGCGAACGAGCCCGTGCAACCACCCCTGGCGGCTCCCCTTAGGGCCACGAGCCTGGCCACCAAAACAAGCAAACCGATCGAGACATCCTCAAAATCTGGCCCACCTGGGGGGTGAAAATGAGCGCCTCGCTCGAGACATCCTCCAAATCTGCTCCGAAAGCGAAGGATGTTGGCAAGACAAACAGGCAAACCGCCTGAGACATCCCCACAAAACGGCCGCGAACGGGACCGTGCAACACCCCTCGGCGGCTCCCCTTAGGGCCACGAGCCTGGCCACCAAAACAAGCAAACCGATCGAGACATCCTCAAAATCTGGCCCACCTGGGGGGTGAAAATGAGCGCCTCGCTCGAGACATCCTCCAAATCTGCTCCGAAAGCGAAGGATGTTGGCAAGACAAACAGGCAAACCGCCTGAGACATCCCCACAAAACGGCCGCGAACGGGACCGTGCAACACCCCTCGGCGGCTCCCCTTAGGGGTGCTGAAACCAGCGCCCCGCCTGAGACATCCTCGCAATCTGCTGTTTATCGAATAAGTCAGACAATGAGAAGGTCTGAGTATGAGTAATTCTGAGTATGAGTAAGTCTGTGTATGAGGAACTCTGAGTAAAAGGAGGAGGAGAAGGAGGAAGTCTGAGTATGAGTAAGTCTGAGTATGAGTAGGTCTGGGTATGAGTAGGTCTGAGTATGAGTAAGTTAATGTGATCAGGTCTGAGTATGAGTGAGTCTGTGTATGAGTAAGTCTGTGTATGAGTAAGTCTGTGTATGAGTGAATCTGAGTATGAGTGAGTCTAAGTAGGAGGAGACGAGAAGAGGGGAGGAGGAGAAGAAGAAGGAGTAGGAGGCGTCCAAGTAATAACAAGAACCCCATCTTAGGATATGGGTAACAAAAAATAGAAAAATCATCCCCAGGCTATATTTTAACTATTTTGGAATATTCCTCCTGTAGAGGGACACGCCCGACTTGAGACTGGCTTTGAGTGGATCCCTGACGGGGGCGGGGCAAGGGCGGGCCGCCCTCTTTGAGTGCAGAGGGCGTCCTGGAGGGGATCGGGGGCCTCCGAGAAGGCTTCCTGGAGGGCAATGGCGCTTCTGAGAGGCGGGGCGCCCTCTTAGAACACGACCCCCCTCGCCCCACCACCTTTTGCCTGCCGCCGATTCTCCGCCGTGTAGGTGAACTCCAGCTCCCAAGCCCATCCGAAGAGGTAGATGTGGCTGTACCGGTGCATCAGGTTTTGGACGCGGGACACGTTGAAGTTGGATCTGTTTCCGCCTGGCCTGACGTGAAAGTTCGTGGACCCTGAGAGTAGCTCTGTAGCCTTGGGGGAGCCCCAGTCGGGAGAATCATAGCCCTCCTCTGTCAGAGTGTCCACGCCGAAGCCGCAGTCCTTCAGATCCATCATGAGGGCCATCTGGCGGACACCGCTGCCGAAGTGACTGTTCATTCCCTTCGCACTGATTGCCAGCGCATACTTCTCTTGCGTGCCAGGGCTCAGCGTCTGCGCATGGCCTATGTGAGACGCGTATACTGATACTGACCCGCGAGACGTCCTGTCACGAGCTAACCCGAAAGGAGTTATGCATGTTGCTACTCTGGCGAAGCTCACGGCAATGAGGACACGAAACATGCAAAGGCGGGTCATGAGAGCACCGGCCCACCACAGTGATCACACAGAATGTGCGTTAGTCGAATAGGTGCCAAGACGGCTTGAGCCACAAACATCAAAGAGGCAGGAAAGGACGGAGCTGAGCGCGAGCATTGGAAAAGCACTCGCGATCAACTGCGCCACGCAGCCCACTCGACAACTTCTTGGACAAACAATGCGGTACACGGTGTTTGCTCCGCAGTGCCATGCGCCTCATGCGGAAATGATGATCGCCCCCGGAGCAGGGGCACCGCCAGTTGCGCACTCGCGCGCGCGCATATTTCTGCCAGCCCCCATGAGGCCCTCGTAACCCTCGAGGTGTCCAGGACACCCTGGATCCGCTGGCCGGCGAGTAGCCCGTCTCATTCTGAACCTTGGACCTCATCGACGTCGAGGTGACGCGGGGGGGGGGGGGGGCTCGGACGGGGCAGACGCGGCGAACAAGTGGCTGGACACGCTGGCTGCACACTGCGCCTGCGGCGCACATGCGGGGCCCGCCCTGTTCTCGACCTGCCGTGCGGCGAGGAGGAGGAGGAGGAGGAGGAGGAGGAGGAGGAGGAGGAGGAGGAGGAGGAGGAGGAGGAGTGAGGATATGGCCCTGGCGAGGAGCGGCCCCCCTCGGGGCCCGAGCGGCCCAGGCCACGCCCCGTGAGGGCTCCGACCGCCTGCCGGGGCGAGGGAGCTCGCGCAGCTGGGGTGCGCAGGGCGGCCGTGCCAAAGGACGACGGCCGAAGCATTGCGCTCTGCAAAGCCTCGAAGACGCCAACACTCCGAAGCGGATCTCTGCCGCGCCAAGCCTGCACCCAGGATCGGTGCCTGTGCGATGCTCGCTGGGCCCGGAGGGCAAATCCACCGATGCTGTGCCCAGGATTCGCCCGCCCAAGACCAGCGCCAGCGCACTTACGGCCCCTGGAGCTGCAGACATGCGACTTCACGACGTTCTCGAGAAGCGGGCCCCTAGATCTCTCGACCACATCCCAAGGACTGTTTTTTCACAGCGGGCTACTTGATTAGGGGCCCGAGAGGACCAAAGGAGAAGGACCCAAGGAGATGGAGGACCCAAGGAGGCCCCAAGGAGAAGGAGGAGCCGAGGACGAGGAGGATAACGAGAGGGAGGAGGAGGAGGAGGAGGAGGAGGAGGAGGAGGAGGAGGAGGAGGAGAAGGAGGATGACGACGAGGAGGAGGAGGAAGAGGAGGCGAATGATAATCAGGAGGGAGACTGGAGACTGTAAAAAGACTGTGTCTTCCCAACAAACAGATCAAAGAACGGTCAGATGACCACGTCGGCCGTGACTCGCTGCCCACCTGGGACGGCTTGGTGCGTAGAGTGGCAGGGCCCCCTGAAGCCTTCACCGTTATTTCGGGTTCCTCGGCCAGGAAGACCACTACCAACCCTGCCGAATCGAGTGGCATGCGCAATTAGACTGTACGAATACGACCAGCCCAGGGCGGGTGGACACAGGATCCTATGGGGTTTCAAGGCCACGCGACCCCACCTCCCGACCAAGTGCGCAATCCCCATGCTTGGTACCTATCTCCAGAACGCGGGCGCAGCTAAGGCGCCACATGCAGACAAGCAAACCGCTTGCCGCTGGTTGCGAAGATCGGGCCCGGCTGCTTCTCTTGTTGGGCCTGTTTTACACCACCACCACCACCACCATAAGTTGGATGGGGGGAAGGAGGAGGAGGAGGAGGAGGAGGAGGAGGAGGAGGAGGAGGAGGAGAAGGAGGAGGAGGAGGAGGAGGAGGAGGAGGAGGAGGAGGAGGAGGAGGAGGACCCCCTCCCCCTCCAGCTTATTGTGGTGGTGGTGGTGGAAAACAGGCCCATCATCTCTCCTTGCCTGCTGCAGCGGGTCATCCCCGATAGTGTGCCCTGCACGTGAGGCCTGAGCACCAGGATGCGGTACCCAGTGCCCTCGCGTGGAGCGATGGGGGGGAGGAGGAGGAGGAGGAGGGAGGAGGAGGAGGAGGAGGAGGAGGAGGAGGAGAAGGAGGAGAAGGAGGAGGAGGAGGAGGAGGAGGAGGAAGAAGAAGAGGGGGAGGAGGAGAAGGAGGAGGAGGAGGGGGACGAGGAGGAGGAGGAGGAGGAGGCATGACCAGGCACGAGAAAGAGACGAGGGCAGGCGGCCACCAGCACGAGACAAAACGAGGGCAAGATCATCCGCTCCCGTTCCCCGCGCCACGTACAACGTGGACAGGAGGAGGAGGAGGAGGAGGAGGAGGAGGAGGAGGACTAGTGTAAACCCACGAGTCATCAGCGATGTTGGAATAAACCCTCTCTCCAAGCTCTCTCTTCCTAGGCCACATACAGCGGGGCATCTCCACTGAGGGAACTGCCCCGTTGGAAGACAACCGCTTGAAGATCCGAAAACATGCCAAAACATTGTTTTCGGGATTATAACGCCACGGATCAACTTGAGTGTTGCGTCTTAACGAGCCTGAATCGTACCAGAACGCCTTTCCGGGGACTTCAACACCGCGAATCAATGGAGCTGCTGCACCCTCATAATCCTGAACCGTTCCAGAACACCATTTCTGGCACGCTGATCATGGGAATACGTACAACGCTTGCAAATCTGAAAAAAAATGCGCACGGCGCTAAGACGAGAACACCATTTTGACAAAAAATCGCCCTCAATCGGTAAAACTCTTGCAAATGTTCAAGGAGAACGCGCGCGGCACTGAGGCGAGAGCCACATATTGAACACCAGTCGCCCTCAATCCGCGAAACTCTTGCACATGTTTAAAACGAATGCGCGCGGCGCTAGGGCGAGCGCCGCATTTTGAAACCCACCCGCCCTCCATATGCGAAAAGGCTGCCATTCTTTAGTTTCAAGGTCACACTTGGTGAGGAAGTCTCAACCGAAACGCCCGGCCCGCCCTAAAAAATAGCCTCGGTGTGCGATATGGACTAATTATTCACCAGAAAAAGAAATGAAGGACCCCCGACGTCGTAAACTTTCCATGGTTATGGAACGCACAGCTCGGCTGACCATCCTGAGGTCGTTTTGCGGCGGCCCCAGGACCCAGCCCGGTATATGGCCCGGGAAACCGAAAAATGCAAAGCACACCAAGAACCGTTCTTCACATGTTTTCACGAAGCGAGGTGGTCTGGCCTCGGGGTGTATAGTTACTCCCCGAATATATCCTGGAGTGCGCTCTGGCCAGACCTCCGAAGAGGCACCCGGCCGCGGCCACGAGCGCGCCCCAGGAACGCTGTAATTTCGCCCAGGGAAGCTCGATCCCCGACCCAAGTGCACGAACGGCAAACATATCCGCATCCATGCCTTCGCGGCGTAGATTCCAGCATACATTTTGCGCGGGGCATCCGCGAAAAAACGCCCCGCATCCGCGGGGTCGCGGCCCGGGGGCCCGGCCCGCGAAGTCGGGGACACGGGCACGCTTTCGCCCGCGAACCCGAGGCACGCGCGCAGACAAAAGGGGGGCCAATGAGCGTCTTTTAGAAAAACAAACCGGCATGAGCATAATCTTTCGGGGTTCAGCGCGGACTTCTGCGATCAGCGCTGGGCCCCCTTCCCTGGCGCGCGGAGCCCACCGGAAGGCTCAACGCCAATCCATGAAATCCGCTGAGAATTCCTGACAGACGCTTCCGCGCCGCCAGGGGCCACCCAGGGCCGCCGGAGGCCGCCGACCCCGAGAGCCGAGGTCGCGAAAAACTGCAACACGGCGGCACAATCACTACCGACCCCCCAGGCCCCATCTTTCTACGGCACTTATCGGGCAAGATCGATCAGCTGGGAAATATAGCGGCACGCGGCCACATGCATGATCACCGTCATCCCCAGCATCATCACCACCGCCACCACCACCACGATCAGCATCATCATCATCATCATCATCATCATCATCATCATCATCATCATCATCATCATCATCATCATCACCATCATCATCATCATCCTATTCATCAGCAGCAGCACCACCATCAGCATCAGCATCAGCAGCATCATCATCGTCATCAGTACCATCAGCATCATCAGCCTCATCGTCATCCGTAGTATCACCAACAGCGCCTTCGTCGTCACCATCGTCATCGCCATGATAATCATCACCATCTTCATCATCGTCATCAACCATCATCATCATCACGATCATCACCGTCGCAGCCCTAGCACGGGGTCGCTGGGCGGAGGCCGCGGCCGACGCGCGCAGGCGGGGCCCAGAACTGCAAGGCCCCGGCGCGCGCGCGCGCGGGCCGAGCGGCGCCGCCCAGAGGAAGAGGATCCTCTGCGCGCCGAAGGGCACGAACAACGCCGCTGACCTCGGACGAGGAACGAGAGGCAGAGGGCAGAGAGAGGGCGGGGGCCGAAGCAGCTGCAGAAGACTCAGACGACCACGACGCGCACGAACAGAAAGAATAAGAAACGGCATTCCCCCGCGCCGCACTAGCGAGAAGTCGCTGGGCGGGGGCCGCGGCCGGCGCGCGCGGGCGGGGCCCGAGAGGGCCAGGCCCTGGCGCGCGCGCGCGGGCCGCGCGGCGCCGCTCAGAGGAGGCGGACCCTCGTGCGCGCCGACGGGCGCGATCAGCCACGCCCACGCTCAAAGCCATTGCGCAGTGACAAGGCTCTGGCGGACGGTCGACGGTTGCATGGCCCACGCAGAAGCGCCCGTATATATATATATATATATATATATATATATATATATACATATATATATACATATATATATATATGTACACGTATATACATCTATATATATATATACATATATCTATATATAAATCAATATATATATATATACAAACATACACATATGTATATATATATGTACATATATAAGAAAAAACTCCAGTTGCGGCAGAATACGCAAGTACGACCGACGAGGCGGCGGCAGCCCGGAGATTGCGCTCAGCGCTGGAGGCCCGCCGCCAAAGGCCACGCCAGAAGGGGCGTCTTCTGCGGCCACGTAGAAGTCGGTCGCCCCAGAACCTCGAAGAGAAGCAGGCGCGAGACTCAGCCCAGAGGCCGCGCTGGACAACGAGCGCCCAAAGCCGAAACCACATGGTTCCACCGAGCACGGAAGCCGCTCTGCCCGAAGGGCGATAG